AAGGATTCATATTTTTCATAATATCAACAAATCAAGACAACAAGAATTGCTGCGTTTTCCAAAAACATAAGATAAAATACATAACTGTGCAATATTGTCATGTAACATTCTGTTCTTTATCAAAAATACATGAGCTCTTCTGGTTTTTTTATTTAGTCAACCCATATTGTGTTCCTAAATTTTAGATCTAAAGTGTCCAGCTCTTTTAGGGAAAGTTAAAGCTTAAAAAAAAAAGAAACTACATTATTTGCAAGTTATGAAAGTGTTATAACTTCATGAGTGGGTAACACAATAATGTATACTAACCCATCCATATATTGTGCCTTCTTTTGAGTCACACTGGCTGAGAAACATTGTACTGAACTGAACTATTCTGATTATTTGTATTCTTTTGTGTTAGTGCCATCAATCTATTACTGCAGCAGAAGACATCAAACCCAACTCAGTTCACATGGCTCTCCAGATCCCGCAGTACTTCTTCATCACTGCTGGGGAAGTGATGTTTTCTGTTACTGGTCTAGAGTTCTCTTACTCCCAGGTACCATTATTAAGAGCACACATTTCCACAACTTATATTGCCGTGCACCGTCAAAGAACAAGCTGTAGGACATTGTAAGAAAATGCACGTCCCCAAACTTCTGTCAATTATTGTTTTTGCTTAACATGGTTTTTTTTTGTGTCTTCAAGGCACCAAGTAACATGAAGGCTGTGCTGCAAGCAGGCTGGTTGTTTACTGTTGCTATTGGCAACTTCATTGTTCTGATTGTGGCTGAGCTTGCAAAGATTCCCAAACAGGTAAAAGGAAAAAAGTATTATCACAACAACCTGTCTTTAAAACTATAAGAGATGAAATGTCTCTTTAGTGGACATGTTAGACATGATTGATTGATCCATGTTTGTCCCTCTTTCACAGTGGGCAGAGTACCTCCTCTTTGCCTGTCTCCTGCTGGCTGTGTGTGTCATCTTCTCCTTCATGGCGTACTTCTACACCTACATCGACCCGATGGAAATTGAAGCCCAGTTCAAGAAAAAGGATGATGAAGATGAAAAGGACTTAAAAAACAAAAAGAGGAGTTAGAGTTTGAGATGAACAAGAAAGACTGGACAAAAAGTCAAGACAGAGATGAAAAAGATGTACGGACAAGAATGTAAACAGTCTAAAAAGCAGGCTAGATATCAATAATGCAAATATGTTTAACATCGAAATTAGGTAGTTTATTTGTTTGTGTGGTGCTGGGCTTTTGGGGACACAAAGTAGATACTTTTTGGGTCCGATGTTTATGATGTGGTTTGTATAAAGTAGGAGATAGGTTAAGTCAAGTCGTACAATTTTGGATCCAGGAAATGAATGTATATCTAATGTTCCCTACAGTGACCTTGTGAAGTGTGTGTGTGTGTGTGTGTGTGTGTGTGTGTGTGTGTGTGTGTGTGTGTGTGTGTTAAAGATTTTATATTGTAATGCCCAAATGACTATCACTAGCGGGAAACACTAGGTCCTCTTATGTGCAGTTGAACACATCTTTACAGTATTAGCCATATGGATGTTAGTAATAGTTTTTAAATAGTATGTAATTTATGCAAATGTGATTTTTTTTAATGTAATTGCACTGCCTGCTACTGAAGTATTAACTCTACACTCACAGCCAAAAATGAATTGTGTTTTTTAAATAAATGTTTATTACTAAATGTTTATGTCTTACTTTGTCATCATTATATGTCCTTTGACTGTGATGTTATTCTTTTACCCTCTCAGTTTATTGTAGTCTGTCATCTTCATGCCGACTTCTTTCATTAATGAATGAATAAACATGTTACAATTGTCCCCGGTGTCAAGACGACAGGATGTAACCACGAACCAGAACAGCATACATTTTATATATATATATGGAATGCTGTTTTCTGAATAACATGAAACTTTTAATATATGGAATTATTACCAAGGATGTTATCTAGGGGGGGTATCACCACACTTGGAAAAGGCAAGTTTTTAAAAGTCATACCATGAGGACAAAGAAAATAAACTCAGACTCTGAAGTGAAGGTTAGAAAGCACATAGGCCTATCGGTAGTCTGCTGCAGCATGAGGGTCACAAACATAAGAAAAAGTTTGTTTAGTGGTGCAAACATTTCACCGTCAGGTTTGTTTTTATAGATCACAGACTTTGAATGGCAAATGGCATACGCAAGTTTCAAGCCCCTCACAGAAAGCCAACTGATGGTGTTGACTCTCTGGATACCCAACCAACTGAGAAAAGAAGCATTCCACCTCCCCAGCCCAGCTGATTGTCAACAGCCATCAGGTGAGGAGAGCAGTCAATAGCTTCTGACAAGCAAGGAAACCTGTCACACTATCTATCCATAACATGAATGAAGAAATGCTTTGACAAAATGCTTTTGCGTACCCCAATTACTTATTCAAATCAGTACTGAAAATTGAATGTGCATTGTTCAATGCTACTATCTATAGCTTTATATATATTTTTTCCATTAGGAGGACATTAATGTATACAATGACAGTATGAGTAACACTTTTGGTTCACATTGTGTTATTTTCTCCTTGTATCAGATTCAAAGAAGGACTGAGTGCACTTGGTGTGCTTGATGAAATTATTGCAAATGCTCAAGCATTTGAGAAAATATTCCTCCAGGACGCAACACCCCTCATGACCAGAGACATAGTGGGGTTGTTCCAGGATCAAGTGCAGATCATAGCCTGGCTCAAACAGGAGGCGGTGTTTAGTGTTAAGTGGTGTTGAATGTCTTAAGAAGATTATTTTTATTTTATTATTTATTATTTATTTACATATTTTTTGGTGTAGATATTGGTGGGTGTAGGACAAACAATGAATAGAAGGAGAAGAAGTGAAAACCAAGTGATACAGAACAGCTTCTAACAAACATAATATATTTTCTATCTTAACATAGCCTCTTAAGACATAAAAATGTGATTTGTTGACACTTACGTCGTACTAGACGTTGTCAGCCCTTTGGCCTACCATAAGGATGAGGTATAGGCTAACATCACATCAGAATGACACAGTCTAACAACCCAACAGAACACCAACAAATAGGCCAAATAGTAGACATCAGAACGTCACAGTAACCATAGACTGATGGAAGGTCTGGGATTTGATCCCCAGCTCCTGCAGCCACATGTCTCGTACTTGGAAAGACACTTAACCTCAAGTTGCAGTGATCTGAACTTGCAGTGTCTTCAGCAAGTTGACAGTAATTGATTTATTTTCCTAATATTGTAAAACCTTGAAATGAGTCAGTAAGGCCAGTGTCTGCAGAACTAAGAAAAACGAAAATTGAGCCGCTGGATCTCCCTGTTTTATATGCGAGTGGTTCCCCATGGCAGTTTACAGTCAGGCTATTACCGTCAGTATATAAAGTTTGTATCGCTTTAAAGTATATAGACCAAAGCCAAAAAAGTTTAAAACCAATAAAAGATAGTGTTTTACTGTATAAAATGCTTTAAACATGTCTACGACTAAAAATGTAACTTTTGTCTGTAGGCATACTCCTTACAATGAGTCAAAGATTAATCTGATATTATTACTGATAGGACTATGTCTTGTATTATCCCAGACTGATATCATTGTCATCATTGTGTCCTAACATACCTTCATGAAGTTATGTTAGGACACAGCATCATCATCATCATTTAGCCTCCTTATTAATTAAAGTTATAGGCCTCCAAATTACCAAGTGGTAATCGAAAAAAAAAGGTTAATTAAACCTTGGCACATAGATGGTGGATGTTTACCTGCTGTTGCTTTTTTTTTTTAAAACCGTTATTACATGGTGATTTATTGTCTTTAAATGTATTCATATTTTTGCTAATCCATCAAGGGACAAGGGCTGATCACACATTTATCTTTCAGTAATACTAATATTTCACGCTTTATTTTGTATGGAAGGAATTAAACTAGATAAGGTACGACTGTTATTTGGTTTAGAATAGAATGTTTTATAATATTCTTACACTAAATTAGAAATTGTTTAGTTGTTGTTGCCGGCTCAAGTCCCGGTGCGGACCAAATATGAAAGTTGGTCTGGTAGCTGGAGAGGTGCCAGATCACCTCCTGAGTACTGCCGAGGTGCCCTTGAGCAAGGCACCAAACCCCCTCCCCACCACCAGCTCAGGAGCGCCTGCTGTGGGCAGCTCTCTCACTCTGACATCGTATTAGTATTTGTAAGGTCTTTTACCTGCTTTTTGTAACATAACAAAGAGTAAGGTATTTTTACCTGATTTTTGTAAAGTGTCTTGAGATAACACTTGTTATGAGTTGACGCTATACAAATAAAATTGAATTGAAATTGAATTGAAATTAATGCATGTCCATAGGATCCTGTTTGTGCATGTGTGTATATTTCAGCCTATGTGTGTGTTGCATGACTTACAGAGTGTAAAAACAGAATTTCCCCTTGCGGGGTCAATAAAAGTACATTTTAAATCTTAATCAATCTTGGTTTTAGGCATATTATTAATACTGGCATTTTGTTTTTCTAGTATTCTTCTCACCGTGTTCCATTCAGTTCCGTCTACAGCAAATAAAGGCACCATGTGCCAAAATATTGATTGTCCAGTTCAGATTCAGATAACTTACTGATATCATTTGGAGAGGGGTCATTATTTTCATAAATTAAGATAGTATCCTTAAGGATTGTATCTTGTGTAATCCTTCTTTTCTTTAGGTAGTTCCTTTTAATTGCCATATTACGGATCTGAAATCTTGTATATTGCAAAAGTTTGCCGTATTTATTTGCTTGAACTTTCTACCAGTTACCTTTAATTACTTCTATGGCTCTTTCTCTGAATAGTTTATCACACAAAGGTGAAAACATTTTGTGATCAGTAAATACTGATAGTTACATTTTTGTTAAAACTGGCACCTGTTTGAACCATAGGTTTGAACTTCTCTTTGACGCTTTTGGTTTACGTATGACGACACATGCAACGTCTGCTCTTACTCACTCTGATTGGTCACCCTGGAAATGAAAATGACATTTACCAAGATGGCGATGGGCGACAGAGAAAAGTGATGAGAGAATAGAACAACAAGCGATACAACTGCAGAACCGTGTACATTTATGTACCCTGTGCGTCTTTTTCTAAGCAGACCACTATTTAATCTCCGGGAAACTGTCAATCACATACCGAGAGACCGCACCGGTCTACAAAGAAACAAGTATTCAGCTAACTGTTTGCTAACTAGCTGCTAAAGTAGCAACAAGCTAACGTTCGCTAACTGCGGAAGGCGAGAGGGGAGAAGCTCGAAGTACAAGCCGTCAAGTCAAGAGCATTTTTTAAAGTCAGTAGACCGCTACCTTTAATAAATACAACACCATCGCAGAGTTTGCAGCACGGACCAGGTCGTCCAAACCAGGGGTTTGTCTGGAAAGTAACCTTCTACATATTATAAGGATACAAGAAAGAAAAGACGAGGAAAGGCGTCATCTTTGCTGATCTGACGCCATGGCTCATTCCCCTCTTCAGAGTGGACTGACAGGGCTTCAGGTAAAATAACATGTTTTATATGGTTTTCAAACATTCAGGTGTGAGTCCATTTGGCTCAGAGACTCCTGACATTTTCCTTAAAGTCTCCTCTTATCTCCAGCTCTGAAGTTTAACTCGATGGCTGTAAATAACTTTTATCTACAGGAACACTTCATCATTATCACCTCTAACACTATCAGGTGGCTTTACACTGATACATGGACATACCTGTCAAAGTCCAGCAACCGTTATGACACTTTGTGATGGCAGTCGTTTTGTTTGTCTTCTAGTTGTCTACAAATTGACTGAAAGGCTGTTAAACTATAGATGTACTCTTAATACTGATGTCTGAGATTATTCCTTGTTTAATATTTCCCTCAATCATTGTAGGCCATACGATGTATCCTAGCTGATATTTTGTCAATGTTCACTTTTGTAAGTTTGAGCAGCAGTGCTAAATTAGAAGTTCACTTAATATCATATGTATTTTTTTTATGTTTTTATGTAGTTTGTTAATACCTGAAGGGGAATCACTTCGTAATACGTGGAGTGTAATGCATGAAAAAAGCAAATCAGAAAATGCTCTCTTTTTGGAAGCTAGTGCTATTAAATGGCATTCTGGCTCAAATGCTTACTAAAAACCATCAATGAGTTGCCCAATTATTCTGCGATCAACTAACTTATCACTTGACTAAATGCTCTAGCTCTATTACTTTAAGTTATCTACACTGATGCTCTACATCACATATCATTCTGTGTCTGTGTATTTACTTCCTCCATTCTGTAATATGTCATTTTATGAGCCCTGGATGTCATTTGCCTTCCAGTTATCATGTCTATTGGTTTTGTCCAGGGCTGCAGCTAACACAAACTTTTAATGTTGAGTATTCTAATCTACCACTACAACAACACTACTACTAAAATTCCAAGAAATCTTGGGAAATATTGCGGAAAAAAATCATGATCTTGAAGCAGCAATGTTTTTGTTGTTTATTGCAACTGAAGTGAAAATTACATCCAGTTGTTCATTTTTGCCCTCTACGTCGACTATCACAAGACAATAGATGCAAAACAAGAATCGGTTCATTGATTGACAGTTTCAACCTTTAATTTTGACCACACAGCATTTACATCTTTTTTTAAAACTTATTTAAGTATATAGTATTTTTAAAGATTTTTAATTTAGTATATTTAAGCTCTTATTTTATTTTTTGTTTAACTATTTTTTTATTGAGTTCAACCACCCATTAGCTGGCAGTCCTGTCCAACTCCTGCTTGAAGAATTTGGTAGAGGTAAATCCGACTACAGTCCATGTAAGACATGTGGCATAACCCAGACATACATCACTGCTCTATACAATTGATTGCACACAAGCTGGTTCTCTAGGATGAATAATTCATCATTATCATATGCACTGACAGACAAACTGAAGACTTATAAAATGATAAATAAAAACACAAGTCCCTACACTTTGCACTGCAACTTCTGCCTAACAATATTTTCAACATTAATAATAAAAAAGTTCTACAATCTCATTACTTAAAAAACAGGTTTAAATGAGAAAAGGAGCCCTCAGGTTCATATGCACAGGAGTGTGAGCAGATGGAAGTTTGGCAGTAAGCCTTTGACCGCAAGGGTGTGGTGCGTGGATGACACTAGACTACACAGTTGTGTGGTACAGATGGGGGAGCATCAAACACATGCTTTTAGAGCGAGGTTCAGGCAGCTTTAGTTGTCACTGCAAACCTGCTGACTGTGGATATGGCAAGTACATTCCCATCATGTGTAGTCTGTGGCAACAGCGCCCTTGTTGTTTTTCCCTTTGTTTTTACGGAGGTCAGCCTCAACATTATAATTTTCACCTGGATGACTGATCACACCAGTGTTGTGATAGTATTTTGGACGTGTTGTTTCTGCTCTGCTTTATTGTGCACCGCGTTCTGTCTATTTGTCTTTGTTGCTAAGTCCCTTTGCTATCAAATCCAGCAGCCCCCTCTTTGCTAGTTTTTCAAAGTGAAGCTGCTCATCTCCCCCTCCACAAGGTTTGACCACCATGCATTAGCACTTTTACTGGAAACAGTTCTCTGGGGGACCAAAAGCAATATGCTCTATGAGTCAACACATCATCCATGTTCTTAGTGCTGGGTTACAAGGTAATTTAAGCATTTGGCCTATTTGATTTGGATCTTTGATATCAAAGTTTCATCTAGTTGATGATGATTTTGCATTATGAATTATCAGGTCAAAATCATATGTAAGGCTTTTTGAAAAATGCAATCTTTTTCAGTTGAAGCTCGTTGTGTAATACTCTTCTTCAACTTTTTGAAAAGACGTTACTGCAGACTCTACTCAGACAGTTTAGGCTAATGATTGTGCTGCATGAAAGGAAATTGAACCGGCCAACTTCAAGACCATTATTCCCTCTCTGGTGCTCCACGGGGAAATAAGCCATTTAGTGAAGTCAATAAGCCAAGGAGCTGTCATACAGTTTGTCCTGAAGGCTTGTGTTTGTGGAGGAGGTCATTAAGCCTCAGGTATGTCTGGGTTGCACTGCCCCTCGATTTAGGTGTCAAATTGATTTGAAAAAGTTCTTAAGTTGGTCTGCATGGAGATGTTGAGGCCAGGCCAAAGAACAATATAGGTGGCTGTGTAGTCATGAATTCCCACGCTCTGCCTCAGTTAAGTGACATAGAAGTTAATAAAGTATAGGCTTTAGCTTTTGGGAAAGGCGAACGCATCATTCAGCAATAGAGGACAGATCACATCCAGCCTTAGCAGTTTATCTGTATAAAACAAAGAAGAGATATCTCCAGCCAATCATTATTGATCAGTATGGTCTGTACTTAACCCAATAAGTTATCAAGTGTTTTTTCCAGTTATTTGGCCCACACTGAATGGTGATGCTAATGTCAGCTTGGGCTCTGTTTAACTTCTAGAAACTTATACTTACTTACGTTATAAGTAGCCTGGGCACTTGCCAACTATCTGCTATCCTCTTTTTTAATAGTTGCTGCAAGTGTAGCTAAAACAATGGACAGGAAATAGAAAACAGTAAGAAATTTGTGTTTGCGGTTTATAATTATTTTGGAGTCAAGGGAGACATTGTGTTACATAAATACACTATTTCTTCTTCTTTTTAAACTTTATTTTTTTCATACATAGGGACTAGACTTGTAAATATGCTCTTTGTATGAGGACTTGTTGAGAAATGACAGCTTGAATAGTTAATCATTTTATCTCCTGTGCCTTTTATGTTTTTGTGCATCAAAATATAGCTCATGAATCACCTGTGGTTATCAGTTCCTTTACGTGCACTATTTTTCTTGTCTCTCCATGTCACTCAGAACTTCAGAGCCGACCCGGAGGAGTTTTTTACCAAGCTGGATAGAATAGGCAAAGGCTCTTTTGGGGAAGTCTTCAAAGGCATCGACAAACGGACGCAAAAAGTTGTCGCCATTAAGATTATTGATCTGGAAGAAGCTGAGGATGAAATAGAGGATATTCAACAGGAAATCACAGTTCTTAGCCAATGTGACAGCCCTTTTATCACCAAGTATTATGGATCCTATCTCAAGGTAAGCATTAACTTACTGAAGAAAACCATCGGGTTCTGTTATGATCAACATAATGCACATGTCAGTAGTGTGTTACTGCAAACAAGCTACTGTACGTATGGATGCTATGTAGGTCAATTAATAATGCATATGGGTAATGGAGCGTGAAGTATTGCCTGTGTAATGTTGCACATATTGCTGTCTAACAACAAGAAATAGGCCGAAGATGAAGAAGTAGTATACAGCTTGTGGCTTTTGACACTGCTGTCTGTGTTTATCTTGACATTGCTCTTATTTTGTTCCTTTTTTTTGAAACAAAATGGATTTAAATTAACAAAGTGACTGAGATGAAATGTTGCAGCTTTTAGTTTCAGTGTCAGGCTGTTGACATGCAAGCTGTGGAGGAATCAATTCTTCCTTTCTTTGGATATAATCCAAGCCAGCCTTGGACCAAAAACAACAACAAGTCTTAAGCTGTTTTCACGTATGCACTCTTGAAAATATCTAGATCATTTCACACTGCTCCTGAAATTCTCCTGACCTGGCTGTTCATATTTTCCTCCTCACAGCGAAAGAAGTGGGAGGGGGGTCTCCGGGGGCAAGACATGACGTAAAAGGAATGGTGGTGAAGTGGTGGAGAGTCCAGAGTCAGCTATACGTTTCTCTGATGATAAAAGTTTGCCTTTATATTGAGGCTACGTCGTGTAGTTTGACAGAACAACAAGAAGAGTATACTGGCAAACAGAGAACATAATGCAGCTGTTCAATTATGTGCACGGAGATTGTAACAGTCATGTGCATACAGTCCATGCACCGTGCAGAATATAAACATCACAACCCCCACCCGCTCACTCGAGGTAAATTCTCCGGATTACATCCTGCTGCGTTCTTACATCAGCTCACTTAGACTTTCTGCAGCAAAGGGAGCGTGCAGGAGAAACTCCGGATAAAGTTGGGAGTGAAAAATGACAGCCCCTCGAGAAAATGTCAGGTGTTTTTCAGGAGTTTTCTGCAAGTGTGAAGGCCCTATGTGGTGTTTTGATCATGTGTTATAGCTGTATTGACAGCAACACTTAGATGAAAACCACATTTTATGTCTATAATAGATTTTCTGGCTCACTCCATGTGGTAGTGCTCTAAGTGCCTCTCACAGCATTTACTATATTACTTAACAGCAGAGAGGAGAGAGGTGACGTCCATTAGCCCAGGTCTGCTGCTGGCTGACGAGGAGAATTAGGGCTTATTTGTGTGTAGGGTGTAAGCGTGGTATTTGCTGTGTGTGTGTGTGTGTGCGCGCAGTGTGCTTGTATTTAAGTATGTGTTGCACAACTTTAAAGTGGTAATGTTAAGATCTACACTCGCAATGCTCCAGATAATAAAATAAATGATCTGTTTTTTTAAATATATTTTCTACTTTTGATTTGTTTGTTTTTCTTTTTTGTCTTGTGGCGGCAGCTAGAGCATCCGTTCATTAGGGGCTTTGCTTCCTGTGGCTATGTCAAGGTAGCTGTTCTTTGAAAACCTCTGCACTAAAGCCCAGAGATTTCAAACGGCTAGGTAGGCTTACACAAGAGGGTCACACTAACGAAGTCCCCTGGGCAAAGTCCCCCACGGATAGTTGTCACTATTTCCTGTGATGTATTTACAACAGGATGTGTAGAAGAAAGTAAGTAAAGATTTCCTATCAGGTACATGGTGTGTTTAGTTGTCTCTCACAATCTGCCTCTGAAGGGAAGCATAAAGAAACAGAGCCCACAGGTGGGTGCTGCTCTGTGTGTTAGTTGGTGTGGGTAAGAATGGTGTCAGTGTTTGCAGCAGAAGCAAATTCTGTCTGAGTAAGTTTGACATCTGAAGTAATTTGTGTGAACCAGAAGATAGCAGCACACAAGCTCATCTGACACATCCACAGATCTCCTTGAGTTATAGTGACACTTTGTCCGTCTGGCTAAACTACCTCTACAGGTGATGTTTATTTATTTATTTGAAAATGTTGCTCTTGTGTAGGAAACCAAGTTCACTGAGCATGACCAGGTCTGACAGCTATGATGCTGCATTTAGCCTGCAGCAGAAAAGGGGGTGTATGGCTGCATGACATAAATACTTATCAAGTCATATTGCCAGGATTTAAAGTACATCTATTGAATAGGAGATTTATTATATAATTATTATGTTTGTTTTTTTAAGAACTAGCTGATTTAAGACTTGTGAACATATTACACAGTTGAAGTCCTCTGTACTCCAAAGCTGCAGAAAAAATCAGCACACAGTAACTGTGAAATTGTAGTAAACAGAGTATTTAAGTGTCAGTGAGCAAACAGATAATTATTCCAGTTAACATTTGCAGATCAGTTGTAAGTTGTAAGCTGATGGAGAAGACTCCAAGCACACGGGACATTAGCCAGACCACTTGCCTTTATGAGTGTTGTTTTTTTTCAGCCATTTACTGAACAACTAGTTCACACTGATGCTTTGTGAATATTATTCACTTGTCATTGTGGAAATAATCTACTGATCTATGCAGTTAGGAATAGATCAACCAGAAATCAAGTATATGTCATGATATTACTTTTGTTTCAGCCTTTGGGTTTGTATCTCCACAAAACACTGTAAGTTAGTTTGTGCAAACTTAAGCGCTCTCCATCTCCAACAGTTGAATTGAATACCATAGGATTTCCCTCTTAAGCAGCAAAATACTCTGTTTAACTATCTGATTAAATCACTGACTTATTTTTCAGGGTACAAAGTTATGGATCATTATGGAATATTTGGGTGGAGGGTCAGCCCTGGATTTGGTAAGTATTAGTCAAACATTTCTAAAGTAATAATTTGAACAGTTCTCTAATGTGAATGAATATTTCAAATGTGTTTATCCGTTCTCTCAGCTGGAACCAGGTGCACTGGATGAAACCCAGATTGCCACAATTCTAAGGGAGATCCTGAAAGGGCTTGAGTATCTGCACTCTGAAAAGAAAATCCACAGGGATATCAAAGGTGAGGCTGCCACAGGCCATTCTCTTGTTTTATTACAAATCTTGTAAATGGTTTAACAGTGACATCAGGCTCTGCGGTCATGTGAATAACACTGAAGTCAGTTTCATTATTCACTACGACCAGTGTTTACCAGCTGCTGAGGAATTGTTTTACTAAAAAGTTAAATTCCACACCTGCCCAGTGTTTCATCATCACTTTTTTTGTCTCAGAGATTGTGGTGAGGGAATAGCGACTGTCTACTGATCAGAGATCTCTTGTTACTTGTCCTGTCCTTAAAAGTCTTTATATACTTCATTAATACACCGCACACTGATAATGACTTTACTATGACCTTATAGAGCTCAACAGTGACCACCCACTCCTTGGCTGCTCTGGTTCCAGATGTAAATTTTCCGATTCAAATCCTCCTTTGACATTCGTAAATGCTTTATTCAAGAGATAGGCGCATGGAAGACAACCGGCTACCCCTATAGTCGTGACTATAGTACATTTTTAATTTGCGCAGACGGACAAAAAGGCCAATGTACAAGACTCTGTACATCAGAGTCAAGGACCTACCTATCCCACAATTCATTGTGAAGGATATTTCTTCTCTGTAAATGTAACTTTTATAGTTGTTATACTGTTTATACTCACAAGAGTTGTACAATGTTGAGAAATATTTCAATTGTATTCACTGCTGCATAACAAGGTTATTAGTACTTCGTGTTAGCGAACTGAATACAATAGATAGTTACATTCTGCTGCAGTGCTTCTGCCACTAAACAGGAGTGTGGAGGGCCCTCCTGAAGGGACCTGGTGACAAACCTTCTTATGGGCCTACATTACCTGCAGAAATAAATACTTTATCATGTGGAGTCTTACATCCTGCTTCATTAACTTCCTGTGGTTAGATTGTATTCAGTTGATAAATCTAATATGCCTCTCTTCTTAAGAGCTGGTTAATCAAATCGCCCCCTGTGGGTTCAGGCCAATACATTACAAGGTAGTAACCCAACCCATGGTGTTTCTTCGTGTTGTGTCTAGCAATGGCATAATCCATTTTACCTTTTCTAACAGCAGACATGTCCACAGTAAAGTCAAGTCATGTTCAGTGTGCGGCTGATTATTAATTTATTTTCTAATTGTATGTATGCGACTAGGGCTGGGTATCGTTCAAAAATGTTTCAATACTATACTGATATTGATACCTTGACTTCGATACCGATTCCTAAATGATACTTTTTTCGATACCAATTTTATAAAAATCTATTTTAACAAAAAAAAATTACATTACACATTATGATACAAATCTTTAATTTTATTTTTCAGCTCCATGGAATATTAAAACATTCAAAGCAGTTTCGTAACATGAGAATATAAACCATTTTACCACAATGTGGTTTAACTAAAGTTTCAACACTGTCTGTTTTGATCAGACAGACATTTTTCTAAAGTTAACGATGCACGCTATAGTCAAGCCTCTCAAAACACAACAACCCGCCTGGTTAAGCAGCCAATCACCTTTACCAGTGGTAACAGGCAGAAACTGGAAACAAACATTTAAAGTGACATAGCTTTGTCTTTCCCACTGTTTGAAGAAGCTCACACTTCTGTGTTTCTTGCTTTCAGCTGCCAACGTGTTGCTGTCGGAACAAGGCGATGTGAAGCTGGCAGACTTCGGAGTGGCGGGCCAGCTGACAGACACCCAGATCAAAAGAAACACATTCGTTGGCACTCCTTTCTGGATGGCACCTGAAGTCATAAAACAATCCGCCTACGATTCAAAGGTCAGGCAGCTTTTAGGTTACGCCACAGAATGACAGAAATGCACAATTTTAAAGAGAGAATAACAAAATACATTTCTAAAGACAGTCAATGATACTTATAAAACTGCATAGAGGCAAGGGTCAATCATTTTGAAACAACAGTAAAGCTTTACAAGACACAGAAAAGTGTCATTGGTTTGTCTTTCAGATAGTGTGAAAAGTTAAATATGAGTTTACCACATCTGGTTTGTGATGAACATCTGGAGAAGCAGGAGTTCTTCTAGCTTGCTCGTCTACCCGTGGGTTAGCAGTGAGTCAAGCTGCGACAGTGAAGAGAGAGAGGGGACTGTGAGAGAATAAAGTTAGCCACAAAATAAAGTCTAAATATAATGTAGTCAGCTGACATTAAGCATGTGTGAGTAGAGAGAGCTTACAGAGAAACTGATTGGAAATGTGGAACAAAACTTCTCAATATGTTTAGAATGTTGTGTTGTTGTTTAACAGTGAAGTATATGGAACTATTTGGGTTATAATAACTTTAAGTGGTAGTGACGTTTTTTTGTAATGAAAGGCTTTTGTAATAGGGCCATACAAGTCAACTTTGAAAAGTCAATACTGTGGCTCAGTTGGTAGAGTCGTCACCTCTAAACCGGAAGGTTAAGGGTTTGATCCCCAGCTGGGCAGGCATCATGTCCGATGTGTATTGCTCCCGCTGCTTCGATGGCGGTGTATGAATGGATTATTGTTGGACTTACCGGTACTCTCTGAAGTATGTCGCTTTGGATAAAAGTGTCTGCTAAGTGAAATGTCCTACAAGTACGAGTTACGGAAGGATGAAATATAAAACACTACAGGCCAGAGCACAAAGTTACATAAAGCTTGCGTCAACATTGAAAAAGGTAATAAGTCTTTCCTATACATTTATCCAGCACAGGTTGAACACATTCTTCTTCTTCAGTCATTCTTGTTTAAACACAGTTGGAGCTTCCCATGTTCACAGCCCGCCTCAGTATTATGAAAGGTGGTAATAGACACTGACCAAAGAAAACAGATGTGTGAGAAATTTATGCCTGATGATCTGTATCGTCTTGTCTTTCTCTCTGTGTTCTGTTTACTGTGTGCTTGTTTTTGACTGAGGTTTGCAAGGCTGGGTTTCTACAAATGAGCAAGTGCATATTTTTGGGATGGCCACGACATGAGTCAGTGTGGCTTCTCAATGCAGCCACTATGTCACAGTCTGCAGAGCTTCCTCTAATACACCCGTGCTGCTTAAATCATCTAAATGCCATTTCAGACAGCATTGTGTGTCTATTTGTGGACGAGTGATTGAGATTCTGCTGCTTTAATGATAAAAGGGATTGTGTTTGTTTTACAGGCAGACATCTGGTCATTGGGTATAACAGCAATAGAACTGGCTAAAGGAGAGCCGCCGCACTCTGAGCTTCATCCCATGAAGGTCTTATTCCTCATTCCAAAGAACAATCCGCCAACACTAGAAGGAAACTACAGTAAACCACTTAAAGAATTTATTGAAGCCTGTCTAAATAAGGAGCCTAGCTTTGTAAGTTTCAAAGACTCCTGCTTCTATTTTTATGAGCAGTATTGCACAGTATTCACTGTTTGTCCTCTTAATTCTGTTTTCATTAGAGGCCAACTGCCAAAGAGCTGTTAAAACACAAGTATATTGTAAGGCACGCCAAAAAGACGTCCTATCTGACAGAGCTGATTGACAGATACAAGAGGTGGAAATCCGAGCAGTCTCGGCATCAATCCAGCTCCGATGATTCCGATGAGTAAGTTATTAGACACAATCTCAAACAAAAAGCTTTGTGATGTTGTTGTAATTGTTCACCCAGATGAATGTCCTAAAATCCCGTCCCTGCAGGGAGTCAGACGGCCAGGCGGCTGGAGGAGACGATGCTGCCAATGATGAATGGATCTTCAACACCATCAGAGAGAAGGACCTGAACAAGTTTCAGAATGGGGCAGCACAGCCTGCTGAGCTGGAAAGACAACAAGACAACCGGGTGCAGGAGTGTCCGAAGAGGCCTTTGTCACAAAGCTTAGCAACAATCTTTTCTCCACTGTTTACTGAGGTAATAGAAGCACCAATGCTCATCACAAAGAATACGCTGTTTATCAAATGCATTAACTTTGTCAGAGATAACACCACAAATAGAATCCTTAGTAAATGTATTTTTTTTCAATTGTTTTCTGAAATCTGTCATTGTTGCAGTTGAAAGAAAAGGGTGAGACAAGTAACGGCAAGCCGGAGGCTTCAGAGGAGCTGCGGGAGGCCATTTTCCTGGCGGAGGAAACACACCCGGGGATCTGTGACTCCCTAGTAGCTGAACTAGTGCAGAGACTTCAGAGGTAAATATGGGTTCCTTACTTTTCATATTGTTATACATTTTTTAATGTATCAGTGCTAAGTGATTTATACTTTCTAAGTGAGATGTATTTCAAAGACAGCTGCTAGTTAAAATCTGTTTTATATGAGGATCTAGGGGGGGCAATGACAGTCAGTCCATTTTATAATCCATCGTTCCATCTCTTTGGTCCATTATCAAAGATCTTGACCCAAAAAAATTAAGTTAAACTTTGTGACTTAAATTCAGCAAAAATACGTCTTTAAATCCAGGGTTAGGGTTACGCCATACACGGCATACGATATGTTCTTATCCCCAGTAACAACAAACTGTGTGTGTGTGCGTGTGAAAATCACAAGTGTGACTCAAGACTTTCTCTCATGTTCAGAAGATCAATGAAACCTTTCTTTCTGATGATTTTCAGGTTTTCTGTGCCACATGCAGCTGCCACTCACTGAGACAAGCTTCATCCAGCTCTGCTCTAATTCTCTACCCTGGTGGCAGGAGTCACATCTTTTCTTCTGACCTCCAGAGCCGGGATGAAGTCTCACAGGAAGATCTCCATCACTCATTTGCCTGAAGCGAATCCTGGCCTACTTAATGTCTGATTATACGCTAGCACACCACCAGAGGGTCCTATTCAGGACAGTGAGTGGCCAGCCTGCTGTAAGATGTCCCTCCTTAATACCTCTTTCACAACTTTTTTTATTTTAGGGTGGAATTACCTTTACTCTGCAAGGACTCTTGAGTTTTTGGTTTAAGTAAGTTTGTGGCTTTTTAAGGAGCCAAAGTTTCTGCATCCTTTCAGAGGAAAATATCTGACTTAATTCTTGTGTGTGTTTGTGTGTGTGTGTGGCTGTGCGAGACATCCTGTGAAACGTGTGGTGAGGTGTGATGAGTGGGCTTGAAGCATTCTATTGAAAACTCAGGTATCCTGCTTTAAGTGGACTGGGTCCTCTGGGATATGGAAAGAGCTCTATAGGTTGGCTGTACAGACTTGTAAATAAGTTAATTTCTACAGATTTGTGAACAAATAAAGAAGTGTTTCTAATGGAACCACTGTGTACAAATGGCCAAATGCAAACTGTAGATAACGGTTTTGAGGTAAATATTTTGAGAGACTAAAATGGCCATATATGAGATTGCCTTGCCTTTCTACTTGTTCTTTTGTATATCAGTCTTTGATTTTCTCCAGATATAAAAAACATTTTAGGTATCACGAAGTCAATGAAAATGGCTGCCCTCTTATCATGTTTCACTATTGATTTATGAAAGATTTCTTCATTCACTTTTTGGTTTCACTCGCTATGCTGTGTTTGTAATAATTTTGGAGAATGTAAAAAAAGAAAAAAAGAAATTCACACAAAAAGGCTGGACCACTGAAGCCCCCACCAGTTCTAAACACTGGATGCTGTGTTGTCAGACTGATTCAACATGCGTTTTTGACCAGTTAGATAAACTGAAGTTTCGTCCATTCATTCCATCATCTAGTTTCTTTCTCAGCAGACTCTGTTAGTCTTCCTAAGAGCTGCAGAGGTACTATCTATCTCCTCAGCGTACCTACAGCTTTAATTGCACTTCAAGTATAAATGCCTTTGACTATAAACAAAGTAGCCATAAAACAGTAGCATGAGACTAACAGTACTTTGCAGGTATGCTATCTGGGACAAAGAAAAGTCTGCCTGAAGTCTCACAGCTCGGAGCTCGGAGTTGGTCAGTGTCGTATCTGCCGGGCTGTCTATTAGTTTTTTTCAGTTGTACAGTAAACACAAATGGAGGTCTCACATAGCAGACGACTCTGCTGTCAGATGTACATATTTACATGAAGCCAGGAGGTGTTCAGAGACCAGCGGCACTGCTACTACTTCTGACTGTAGTTTTCAAGGAATGTGCATGAAAGTCTAACAGTATAAGGCCTATTGGTCGGCCTCAGCAGTATGCGTTGTAGCACACTGCTGCAGGGCTGAAGGAATGTCGAGTCCTGAGTTGATTAAGCCTTAGAGTATTTGTGATGAATGGGATGAATAGTATTAGCTTTAAATTGTTAGATCAAATGTTTTTGTTGTGATTTTTTTCTCTCCCTCTGGCATTAAAATGCTTATGCAGCAATACTTTAAAAGACAATTGATCAAAGATGTTCCTATCATTCCTTGTCAGAATAATGAGCACATGAACAAATGGACCTGTTTTCTCTCAGATGAGAGGAGATTTGATTTAACCTGAATGAGCAGTGTGATGTTTTTTTTTTCCAGTAGACAATAAATGGCTCAATATGAATAAAGTGAGAGCTCAACAGTTTGGTATAAAGCATCATTTTTCCTTTTGAGGAGTTAGATGAAAAAAGCATGTGTTCACACATCTGTCTGGTAAATATAAATTATAGTTAGCAGCAAAGGTTGGAAATGAGGAAACAGCTGGCCTGAATTGTCTAAATGTGACAAAATCAATCACAAGCACATCTTAAGCTCACTGAAAAACTAGGGCTGTCAACATTAAATAGTTAATCAAGATTAATCAAGGTCTAAACGTAATGCATTCATTTTTTTGTCAATCGTGATAAATCACATTCTATTTGTCCCTTTAGACCCACCGTAGATAAGCCTCTGCAGTGTCTCCCTGTAGTCACAGTGAACAGAACACTGCTGCATCTTCCAAATGTCTCATTTCACTTTTTAAAACTTCTAGACATTTCAGTTGACGAATGAAAAGTATTTTCCACCCCCGTGTCATCAAATATTTCACTGTGTTATCGTTCCTGAAGTAAAGTTAGTCACCTTTGATCTACGAGAAGGTCATACTTTATTTCAAAATAAAAGCAGGGTTCAATTCAAACAGCAAGTCAGGTATTCTCAGCTTAAGACAGTTCATAACTTCAAAATAAAAGCCCAACAAATTTTATTTTGAAATGGGGAATAATAGATTTCAAACATGCGATTAAAAATGTGATTAATCACAACTAACTATTGAAATTAAATGATGAATCGTGGTCTAAAAAATGTTAATCTTTTGACAGCCCTAATTAAAACATATCTTGTCTGTCCAATACAAGAATGAAAATAAGACAAAAATGAGAGTTTTGTCTTATATTAGAGACTTGTGCTTTTCTTTAACTCTATCTTTCCAGGGGCAGGTAACTTGTAGTCTCCATTAATTGGCATAAGGAAATGAAATTACAATGTGAGCTTTTTCTTTAAGGTGGGATTTACGGAACAATTCAGTAACCATGCTTGCTGGCTGCAGGATGTAGGTATTCTCCCCACTCGTGCAAAAATAAAAAACAAACAGTTATGATCTAATATCAAAAAAGAAGATAAGTGTAACTCCTAAAAAAAATTATTTTTCTTTTTTTCCTCAATTTTGAAAAGTTTAATTGCTCCCTGTTTTGTCAATGCTCACTGGATAACCAAACAAAGAAACTGAACCAGAATGTTATTTTTTATCTGCAAAGTTGATTGCTTTCCTTTCTCCTCTGAAAAAAAGAGATCTTCATTCATACTTCTCGTGTGAAATCTGTCATGTGAGGCTCACAGCTCAGCTGAGACACGTTCAAACATGTTGCACCTTTGACATGTGCTGGTATGACTCTTCTATGTTGCACTTTGCAGATTTATTTTGTTTCTTTGATTTGATTTCTAACAAGGTACTTAAAATGACTTAAGATATTGTGTTGCATTTACACTAGTTTAATTTTCTCTCCCCCCCCCACCTTGTGTGTGTTGTATGGCAATAAATCAGTGTGGACGCCAGGAGTCATTTCTTAGCACAAGTAGACATATATTCTGTTCAACTATTTTTATAACCCAAAAGAGCAGTGTTATGTGATGGAGGGAGTGAGGTTTGGTTCAGTGTACATTTCAGTAAACACTGGAGAGCAATCACTTCTAATGTACATTTCATTTTGTGTGACTTGGCTGACAGTTTTATAGTCCAGTATACATGTTTGCTAATTCAGGACAGTGCTGTTGGATTTATTGAGAGTTGTCAAATGCTTGAAGTAAAAATAAAAAATCCAGTACAAATTTGATGAACAGTTCTGCCGTTGTTTGAGCTGTAACTTTTTGTTTTTCATGAACTGTGACTTCAGTCTCCATGTAATGTACATATTAACCCTCATCTGCAACATGACCCCTAACCATAAACTGACCCATCAGGATATTCAAACTCCAGGTAGCTGCACGCGTTAATTGAGCTACTAAATTTCTTACAAGTGTTTGGTTTGATTCTTTTGTTTTTGCGTGTGTGCGTGCGTGCGTGTGTGTGTGTGTAATTGGCTCTCAAGTGGTGAGGGCTCTGTGGGGGATGGATGAGTGGAGAGAGAGAGGGGAAATATTTTATATATTTTTTTAAAAGGTAAATAAAATTTTGTTTTTTTCTCTTTGAAACCTCGTGTGTGTATTGGTGGTAAAGGTTCCTTTTTGTAGCTTCTCTGGAGGTTTTGTTCATAGCACATGGACATCAGGAGTTGGCCTTACCCTTGTGATTGAATCATAGATCTCCAAACTTCCTTTTTTTCTGAGCACTTGAAGTACAGGGAGGTTTATAATTCAAGAACTAGGCTAACTCCTGCTGCTAACGGTTTTGTACTCTTTAAGTGAAGATGGAAAACCTCATTTCTTTGTGTCCACTGTACTGCCCCTTTTTCCATGAAGGACATGTGATTGGGAAAAGGGAGCTTTAATACCACTCAGATCTGCTCAGGTCTGTTTATCACATTTACCTTTTAAAAATGTGAACTTGAATTTTAGAATTTCAGCAACTTTTATTAAAGTGACATGATTACTCTCTAGCCCCCATTTAGCTGAAAATCCAGCATTGAATTAATGTCCATGAGCATGGAAAGATTAGAGTTCAGCAGCAGTCGATAAGCGTTGTGGCGGCCTGCATGTAACCACACACCTCGTGTGTAATGGAAACAACGTGTCACCTATTTAGAAACAAACCGACAACAAACAATGTCAGCAAATACCTCACAGCAAGTTTTATTTATACATCCAAAAACAAAAGATCCAATTTCTCACACTATATACAGATATTACATACAGTGTTTGTACACATATTACATCATTTGTACACAAGAAAATATACATAAAAATGTAAACCTTTGTATACAAAAAATACCTTAGACAAATTAAACAAGGACCAATAACAAAAGGTGACTAGATTAGCTCGTCCTATCTTTAAAAACAGTAATACAGTACATTCAATGAGTATAGGAATTTGTCAGCCATTTCTGAATTCAAGCCGTTAAATGTGCCTACAAGCCCTGTTTTTTGTTTTGATCTACGTGATTTGTATTTTTTTGGGGGGGGGAGGACACTGGTGCAGTGATTAATCTCATGCTATGTGGATACAGCAGTAACGACTTGCAAACTTCTCCATCCATCCATAATTGTTTTAATTGAACTTTTTTTGGGGCACTGTGTGAACGATTAGTCGTTGCAACACTGCAGCGACTGAGAGGCCCTGTTGTCTCTGGTGGAGCTACAGGTTTACACTTCAGAATGTGTTTTCTCTTTGGAAGGGAGAGACACAACTGGGCCTCCTCACAGCTGGAAATTGGGGGGTGGGGGGGGGGGGGTTCTGGTGCAGGCTCTCAGAGCCCACAGTGATGACAGGTGTTCATTTAAGGAGCGTCCTAGCAAAAAAAGAAACAAAACAAAAAAAAGGCAAGACAGACACAGGACGTGAAACACCAATGTTACCGGCCTCCTGCCACTTCTGTGCAAATTTATGTTGGAAAAAAACATACTTTATCTCTCCAGGAAATGAAATGGTGATGTCTATATACTCCTATGATTTATACCACCAAGAATCGAGCCAGTGACCATAATCATACACTGATATTATTTATGCTGCCCCATGCAATCTCAGACTTCTTCCTGGAGTTTAATAGCTATCAAAAACATTCTCCATCAGGTGATTCTTCAAAACAAACTGACAGCATACGAACAACGATCCCTCTACCTTCATAGAGATCTTAACAAGCATTTTTGATAGCCATTAAAAAACAAGACTCATTCCACAAGACACGTGTTCCACTGAATACATTGCAAATAAAAATTTTAATCCATTGCTACTCAATAATTCACCAACAAACCCCAAGATAGAGACTTCTACTCTATATACCTAATACTCAACAATGTCTGACAATCCGTCAAATGTCTTCAATGATATCTATTAAAAGCCATGGTCGCACTGCTGTGTGAGTTGTTAACAGACAGGTGAGGAGTTCTCATTTAGAGTTAAAATCAGACCCCAGGTTTGCATTTAGCTAAAAAAAAAAAAATCACTTTATATTTGAGTAAAACATTAAATTCCAACGTCACCTTCAGTGGGAATTTAAGAATGAGTTTCCTTGAAGTCTTGATACTGAATTTGCTTAATCTATGACAGTCTTTAAAGACCATTGTATATGTGGACCACAGAGCCCCTTTGAGAGCAGACACTTTAAGTCCCTGGGTTGTGCCTTCATCACCCCAAACATTAACACTGAAACTCGTGTATTAGCCTTTAAAATCCACTCGAGAGCAGATGTTAGGCTGACCTGATCGTTGATCTCTAGAGGCTCTACTTCGGAGAGAAACTGTTGTAAAATAAAACGTTTACAACAATCATAGAGGCCAAAATATCTTCCTGATTCTTCCTAGATTCAGTAAATGAAGCTACATGAAATGAGACCAATACCTTGTGATGCAAGAGTTATGTTAATGTGTTTATTGCTTTAAGAAACTAAATTTACCTTCAAGTGTCTACGAGGCAACTCAGAGTCCCACAACCAATGGTGAGGTCAGATTTTTGACTTCTGAGCAAACCAATAAATGAGCACAATATACAATACACAATATAAAAACAGCTGTTTAAAAGTATTTTGGTAAATCCGTATGAATGTGAAATCTGACTTAGTAAGATTCTATATCATGATGACAGTTAAATAGCTTGCAACATAATGGGTAACAAAGATCACAACCAATACTCTTCTTTTTCAGAGGGTGACAGAAGCAGTGTGAGGGACAGGTGGAGAAAGTAAATGGCCATCTGAGCAAGGCAAGGGTACAGTGGATCATCAAAGACAGGACTTTTAAGTGGCAAAGGGACCACTGAGTGTGACACAATCTCTCACAAGGTCCTTCCACCTGTTTTTCACCTGTTCATTCATTCCATCAGTGTTACCATTAACCCCCTGCAGAGGAAAACCACAAGGCAGCCAACATGTGGACTCACAGTGACTTCAAAATGCCAGAGACCGACTGCCTTCAGAGTGAAAGAAGGGAAATGGAAAACATTGAGGATAATCTGAGGTTTGTGCAAATTGTCAAAAAGTGCACGATTACCACATTGCACACATGTAGCAGATGGAGAGAGAGGGAGGGTGGGGGGTGGGGGGGTCAACTGGATTTTAAGTTGCTGTGAGTCCACAATGCAGCTGCTGCAAGGTGCCTGCTCTCATTGACTTTGTTTAAAAGGGGGTGTGGCGCTTTTGGCACTTGCAGCAGTGGCACTAACTATTGAAAAGCCAGCCGGGGGCGCTGTAGAGCTGTGGCTAGGCTGCACGTCTTTCGGGATGCCACTGTGGGAGGCCAATTGATGGCCGAAGGCCGCGCTGAACTGAGGGAGCTGCTGCTTGGGCTGTGTGGAGGTCAGGAGATCATGTGACGAGGGAGCAGAGGGAGTGGTTAGGCCTGTCAGGCCGCTCTGAGGCATCGCTGAGAGTGCGGCCATGGGCTGCAGCGTCACAGAGTGTGTGGTGGTGGCCGGGGGGGGTGGACAGGGCGGTGGATATGAGATGACTTTCTGATCCTATGAGATTGCCAAACTGCGCTGGGTCGGTGAGGGGGAGAGGGAGATTGTTCCATGATGAGCGCGGGGGTCCTGGTGCCCCACTGAGAGGGACTTCCAGCAGCAGAGGAGGGTCTGTCTGGAAGGAGCCGGCATGGGGAGAGGACATGTGGTCACTGTATGGGGATGGCACATGTTCACTGCTGAAGTGGCTGCCTTGAGGAGAGGATGTGGGTGCATCCGACTTTGTCAGCCCATGTGACGCGTTTGTCCGGGAAAACGTTCGCTCCGTTATGGAGGTCTGGGTGAGCAGGGAGGTGGCAGAGGGGGCTACGGTAGAAGCAGATGAGGTAAGGTTGGAGCACGACGACGGGGGCTGGTTTGCAGGCTGAGATGGCAGTGAGGGAGGAAACTGACCCCCGGTGGACTGCAGTAGGTTGTCCTCCAGCTCAAGGCTCGTGAAGTTCTCTGTGGGGATGCGGCTGTTCAGCAGATCCCCCATCCCACCCGGCTGGACCGGACCCGGGAACACCGTCATGGCACGGTGGTCCACCCCTTCAGAGGGAGCCAGGTCTCCTATGGAGGTTAGGCACACCAGGGAGTCTGGGTAGGAGCCCATAGCCTGCAGAGCACGCACCAGCTCCTCTGCCTCCTCTGTGGTGGGCAGTAAATCCCCGTTCTTACCTACAGAGAGACAAAAATCATTTTTTGGTTTTAAAATCCCAGGGAAGACTTTTTTTGTATACATTAAAGGAGTGTGCTTAATAGAGGACAACCTTCAAACAAGTCAAAGTCCTGCAGGTCATCAGGTAGTCTGGGCAAAACGTCAGAGAAATCCTCCTGGTTTAGCTCGAGGTCATTAGGAATGTCTGCCATGTCATTGGTGATATCGTCAGGTAGCTCATCTGTGCTCAGGTCTGGAGTTGAAGGGCTCCTGCAACAAACAAAAAAATGATTAATGACAAACATACCTTTCATAAGACCCTCTCTGAACGAGGCTCCCTTTTTAAAGTCATCATTGACAACAGCATAGCACACCTGATGCTGGCTTGTGATGGCATGGCAAGGCTTGTAGAAGGCATTCCCAGGTTCCCCTGCGGCAGCGCTGGAGGGATGGGTTTCTGTGGCCTCCGAGGTCCTCTCCTCCTCTTCTTTTTGTGTTTTTTGGTGAGTGCCGGTGGTTTGGTCTTTTTACGTGGCTTTCGCTGTTGCTGCTGCTGGTGCTGCACTCTTCTGTTCCCATCCCCTCGCAGGAAGTTATCCTGTGTGGAATACAGACAGAGAACAAGAGTTATCATAGAGAAGAGGCCAGGTAAGCCGTTTCCTTGTTTTAAGTCTCTTTGACAAGACAAGTTAGCTCATATTTATGCTAAAGACAAGTCTGCTATCATCTTCTCATTTAACTCTCATTACTCCCAAATTGCTGGACTTCTACTTTAAAATTTATCTCACCATTTTTTTGGCATGCTCTTCACAGAGTGGTGTCTGATGTGTGATATCAAACACGGGGATGGAGCACTGCTGACCATCTGCAAATTTGGCTGTGCAACTCGCAAAGAGCTGCTGGGAACGATTCAACAGAATATCTACAGAGAACAATCAAGGAAATAACCAAACACTCAAGACAACACAGGGCATGGGATCACAGCACTCCATCACAAAGGGGAGGAGTTATACGACACATTATGTGTCGAAACAAGAACGTCCTCAAAACATTGATAACACCAGTCTTGACATAAAAAACAAGAGAGCTGAACAGCCATGTTTTGGTGGACAGGATACGCTGAAAGCAGTGTTGAGTGAAGGGCAAAGCTCTGTTGTTGCAGGCCTGCCCCTTTGTGCTGCCAGTGCAGGTCCCTGGATCTGTCTTCTGCTGCCTTGCCGGAGAATCACTGAGGAAGTAAACACACAGAGGACTGAGAAAAAAAAAACTCTCCATGTTCAAAGTGTTATGCACATGTTAAATTATGAGATGAAGATTGTGAGATAAAAAAAATGCAAAAAGCAGCACAGACCAATCTATTATAAGAGATCATCAAAATGTAACTTCTATTTGTTGTTGTTTGATGTGAAGTTTTTTACTGGTTTCACCATGGTTTGTTGCACATACCAACACAGACAAAACTGCAATAATATTTGTGAGAATTACCTTGAGGAGCTCCGAGAGGCATCACGTAACTCCTGGATCAGCTGCCCGGCACAGTCAGGGTTGTTACTGGCAGCGTGCATCAAGGCTTTGCGGAAGGCATAGCGGTATCTCTTCTGGCGGATACTCGCCCTCTCCTCCCGGCACATGTGCTTGTATTTCTCCCGGAGGTACGAGCAAAACCGAAGCAGCCGTGTTCTCCGAGATGAACCTCTGTCGTCTTCAAGCCTATTTTAAAAAAAAAAAGTGAATAGCAGTTAAGACATAGTAAATGGACTGTAATTATAAAACCTTTTCTAGTATTCTGACTACTCAAATGCTTTTACACTCCAAGTCATGTTCATCCATACACACCTCATCCTCCCACTGATGGCAAAGGATGCTATGTTAAGTGCTAATCTCATTCAGGAACATTCACACACTGCGGGCTCTAACAAGCTTACAAACTGGGTATTAAGTTGTGGGGTACCAACCCATTCTGGGGTCTCCCAGGGCTCAGGAAAGGAACAAAAGTCACAGCCTCCTCTTCGTCATCATCATCATCATCAGCACTGTCTTCAGACCAGTCCAATCCTGGAAGACAACTTGTTAGAGCAGCTCATCCTATCTCAGCAATCTCAAATCTGAAATGCTACACTGTATCTGAAAGAAATTAAATAGTCTTTTAACTGAATGTGAATTTACAGAGTTTAAAAGTATGCGCTAAATGCAAGTGAAATAAGCACCTAGATGAGGAAAGAGGTCACCATGCTCCCGGTGTCTCTTGGCACAGAGCTGTACCAGGTGTTGCAACCTGGCCAGGCAGCTGGCAGAAGGTGAGAAGGCAGCAGGACGCATGACGACCACATGCCGCTGATTGCTGCTGCTGCCACTGTCCTTGCAACTGACAGGCAGGTGAGTAGCAGTGAAAGGCATTTTCCTGCTGAGTGATGGCCCAGAGGGTTGCACTGGACTGGGTGCTGCATTAGCTGGCATCCCCGGAGGCAGAAAGTTGACCGTCTGAGGTGGTGATGGATTGCATAATAAACCCTGCTGCTTTCCTGGGAAGATGAAGGAAGTCACGCCGGAGTGCTGGGGTGGCTGGAGAAGACCTGACTGCTGCCGTGGGAGATGAGTGTTCATCGGCGAGGAGGAGTGAACACGGGAGACGGGGGAGGGACTAAAGTGCTCAGAGGGTGCCTGGAAGAGGTCCGTGTCATGACAGAGCTTCTGGTTGAGCACCACGCGACTCTGCAGTTTCTTCTTGATGGCGTTCGCCTTCCGAGGAGCTCCCACCTCCTCATCATCTGTGTCGTCCTCGTAAAAGGCAAAAGGGTCCAGGAGCTCCCCATCAGGGAGGGGTAACAGGCGTGTACAGGGGGGAGATGGTGGAAGTTCATCCAAGCCATTGGGGGTTTTTAGAGCTAAAGAGGGCACAGTTATGTTGAGAGCCACAGACTCCAGGTGAGCCCGAGAGCGCATATCCTCCAAAGCATCATGTTTCTTTTTTCTTTCCTTCTTGGGGATAAAGCCCAGAACCTGCAGGTGGCTGTTACAGTATCTGAAAAACAAGACAACATCCTCAGTACACAATGCACACAAAGTCACATCATGTTTTCCACATAAATGAAATGCCCACATAGATACACACCTGCGGTCCTCAGACTTGGGGATGGGGTTGGTACACCTCTGGCTGTTGTACTTGGCCACATATTCACATTGCTTGAAGGGGGCTGTCTTATCTTCCAGAACGTGTCGGATACAAAACGCATAGCCATTTAGTCTGCGCTGCTTGCAGAGCTTTGGGCTGTATGAGCACAACGGCTTATTGTCCACCTCTGAGAAGTGTATGTGTTTGCCTTCATACATCACGTTACTCTTGTTCGTGACAACATCAGCTGATGGGATAAAGTCAGAGGGAAACCAAGAATTACATCATGAACACTTAATACGACAGAGGTAACCATGCATGGGTTGGTACACCTCTGGCTGTGTACTTGGCCACATATTCACATTGCTTGAAGGGGGCTGTCTTATCTTCCAGAACGTGTCGGATACAAAACGCATAGCCATTTAGTCTGCGCTGCTTGCAGAGCTTTGGGCTGTATGAGCACAACGGCTTATTGTCCACCTCTGAGAAGTGTATGTGTTTGCCTTCATACATCACGTTACTCTTGTTCGTGACAACATCAGCTGATGGGATAAAGTCAGAGGGAAACCAAGAATTACATCATGAACACTTAATACGACAGAGGTAACCATGCATGCACATGCAGGGGAAAGATCCAAGGAAACAGCCAACTCCACAGCAGCTGCTTGCCCTTTTCTGATATTGGTATTAAATGAGAATCAGTGTGACGAAAGCCAAAATAATCATGAAATAGAATGGCAATTTTTTACTAGTGCTGAATAATACATAAATATTGTTCTGCAATTTCAAAAACATTACAATAATATAATAATATCAAAAACATATAGTCCAAACAAAGTTTTCCTACTTGCAAGTTGCTTTTACACCCTGTTGTTTTCAGGTTCCAATTACCTCATTGAGAAAAGGCTGGTAAACAGTGAATACTTTTAACTTTATTTAAACAGACCTTTCAACTAACATTCAAGTTTAAACTGAAACTTAAACATGATGGTGATAAAAACTCAAATGTTGCATGACCGCAATCTGCTTGACAAAGTTTAAATGAACAGTCGTTGTGCATTATTACAGAACTATCCAAACACTGCATTGAAAAAAAGTCTCATTTCTCGGTTTATCATATAAACGAACTGTATTAGTAAATGTTACGCCTGGTGATCAACACACCTGTGCTACAGGTATATCACTATGTTCTGTAACTGTAATTACAGTGTTAGCCTCTCCGCTTCAGCATTACCGGAACTGCTTCATTTATTTTAATGCTTACAAGTTGGTTTTCAGGGTGCTACGGTCCTGGTTGCTGAGGTACATGTTGGTATGTATACAAGGATGAGCTCGGCAACATGTGTTTAAGATTTGAAGGTAGTAAACGACTTCAGGTAAAGACGGAGAACCGGACAGGGAGCTAACTGTTTCTAACCTTAGCTAGCTTAACTACCATTTCCAGTCCGGAGAGCTAGCTTTGTGCCAAATTAAAAATTGACACTGAGAAATTATACACATATATGTGTGCAACACATAACCCTGCTTTGATCTATGGCACATAACTTTATTCATATTAAAAGGTGCGCACATATTTAAAGAATAAAACAGACAAAAGTCAAATTTGATGGTAAGCTAGCAAGCTATCAAAGCTAAAAACACAAATTAGTAGGCGGTAGCTAACCAGGAAACGGAAACATGAGCAACACTATAAAGCTTTATTTTCACTTTAGTTTTGTGTTTGAAATTGCAAGCATAATCAGAAGAAAAATAAAAAAATGTTGATCAGCCGCGGCCGTAATATATCTGTGTTTACGAACACGATACATTTGAAGGAAAATACTTTGAAACAAAGGGTCTAAATACGAGGCTTAAGGCCTGTCCACGAAGGCCTCTCTGATAATCGATATGAATGTATAGCATCTATAGTTACATTATGTGACATTAGCAATCAAAACGGAGGACACTGACGAACATCCCACTTCTGTTCTACCCCAATTATTCATTTGGTCACAACAGAAGTTATAAAATAAATGACTCATCAGTTGGAGGCCTTTTAGCACTGATAGCACAGCGGCCTCTAGTTGAACGCCTGTCCGACTAAAGTCTGGGTAAAACGGTTAGCTCAGAAATCGAGACCGAGGCTGTAGACGGTTTCGCTTACCTTGAACTGGTATGGGCTGTTTAAGGTATTCGCTCCAGATAGACGGCCGAAAAGACTCCTAGGATCGGCTAGGCTATTTGTGTATCGATATTCGAGATAGGATAGTAACAGTGATCTTCATCGAGCTCAGAATAACTAGAAATAAGGATGCATGTAAATGTAGGCAATCCAGAGCAAATTACAAGCCGAAGGTAGGCTGCTGAGGATTTTAGTAGGATCCACAGCAGACTCCTCACAGCACCACTACAGGCACTGCGGGGACATGACAACAATCCGCTCAACAACAACAACCTCTCCTACCATATTGGAAATGTAACTTTGTTAAAAATCCCTATGTGGGAAGTGTCGTGTCATATTATAGTCTTAGGGAAATAAATTAGTTCGTGTTTAGGACAGTGTCCTTTACAGTTTCACATGTTTGAATGATACAGACTGACGGGTCGAGCAAAGTGTTTCAGTGTTTATTCCACCACGGCTATCGTCTTCAATATGAATGAGTTAACAGCTGCCAGCTTTACCGGCTGATCACTGATCATGAATCACGTGCCAACAAGATACAGAAGCTCGGGACAGGAAAAGGTTACTACATAGACTGTAAATATTATTAATACTACTACTGTCACACTAAAACATCATTGTAAAATATAAATAGAGAGTACAATTTTAAAAGGGCGTTTGAAAAGATAAAACGGCTTGCTATAGAAAACTGGTTTATTCATTTCCCCACAACTTACCACATTTATATAAATATACCATTAGTAAAATATATGCATAACTTCTGGCAACTTTACAGGAAGACAAAAAACGGGATTTACCTTAGACACATAATGTTTTAAAACCTTTGGTAACAGCTATTATTTGCATCCTAAAAAGTAAAAATGTAATCTGTCAGGAGTGCATCTTTGGAAATTTAGTAAACCAATCATTATTTAGTCACCTTGCAGGTAACATATACTCACATTTCTGCAGGTTAATAAATTACATTATTAGTTCCACGATTTGAATAAACGATTAGGCATCTATTATAGTCACATATCTGCTACAGTAAAAGTGCAAATAAATAGTTTCAAGAAATGTGCAAATTGTAGAGTTGTGCGTACAAGTTTTTTAGCCAGTGATCTATGAACTGCTTTTCACTGAGTATTAACATATGGCAGGCTCGTCCACAGCTTCTGCTCCCTCTGTGACAGCTTTCACACACTTAGCCATTGTCTGGGAGGCTCTGCTTATTGGATCTGTGGGAAAAGAAAGAGATTTAAAGTCTGCTCACCTATATATATATATACATATACATATATATATATATATATATATATATGTATGTATGTATATGTACAATTTGTCAACAATTCATTTTTATGTTGAAGCATTTAAACTCTGTTTACATATGCTTGACTATAACATGTTTTAGTAGTTTTTAATCAATTCTCTAACATTATGATTGCTCTGCAGAAGTAAGTTGCAGTAACACCACTAAATAAGAGTCTACAGGTCTTTTTCAAACCGGCCACTACACCCTCTCCCTACCCACTACCCCTCCGTTTGGGGTATATGGGTCCGCCATATTAAGTCCGTCCCAAACCAATTAGTGGGGAGTGGTAGTGGGTTATAAAACCCTCCACCAGCGAGTCTGCACCGATGCTGACTTTCGGATCACGTGCAACGCCTATTGTGTCCGGTCGCCATGGAGACAGCAACCTGTGAGTTCAAACTCTGCTCCAACTAAGATAGACATTTAATATCCTCATACAGACGTTAACAACTTCAAAATGTGTACTGAGGATCAAATATATGTTTATTTATTGTAAAGTGCTTTATATTTACAGGGACTGTTGCAAAAACAAAAGAATATTAAATCATGTTGCTGTTAATATTTATTTCTTATTTTCTACTTTTGATGTCTTTGTGAAATCTCAATTCAACAATAAAAAATACACTTTTTGCTGCTCTGATGTTCAACAATAGTCTCCTTGTCTTTGCATTAATTTAGGACACCCTGTTCTATGAAATTACAATAAATTAACTTAAATTATAAATTATAACAAACAATGTAGGCTCAATCTAATAGTTTTGTTATAAGTCTACACTAATATAACTAAAGAAGAATAAGAATAATCTAGGCTACATAAATTAAATAAAGAAATCCCATCTCTCCCCCTATCCCTTTCCAAGCCCGGCACAGTCTAGACCTGTGAAGGCTGTTTTGTCATGAGCCGAGGATCCGGCCAAAGATTTCTGCCTTTTAATAAGGCAGTTTTTTCTTACCACTGTAACTTTTGCTGCTTTGCTAAAGTACTCATGATGGATAGGCCGGGTCTTTGTAATATAGCAATAAGTAAGGTCTTTTACCTGCTTTTTGAAACATAACAATAAGTAAGGTCTTTTACCTGCTTTTTGAAACATAGCAATAAGTAAGGTCTTTTACCTGCTTTTTGTAACATAATAATGAGTAAGGTCTTTTACCTGCTTTTTGTAACATAATAATGAGTAAGGTCTTTTGCCTGCTTTTTGTAATGTTAACAGACAAAGAGTAAGATATTTTACCTGCTTTTTGTGTATTGAGATAACACTTGTTATGAGTTGACGCTATACAAAAATAAATTGAAATTGAAAATAAATATTTTTACAGAATGCATTAGCTACAAAAAAAAGCCATTCCTGCAAGATACCGCTGAGTAACCATGGTAACACAGTTCCTTTTTTCTACCTCAGATAGGTAAGTTTTTCCCAAAGCCTGCCGCTGTATTTCTACCCTACACCTTGATGAAGGGGACTTCATTCAGCTGCGAGTGTCACTTCTAACAGAGTGCACTCTAGTGACTCACATGTAAACGGGAGGCCTTAAATGCATGTTTTAAAATTTAGCTGGAGTTTGCATTTAGTTCATTTAGAAAGAGAAAATAAGGCTCATAGGAGGGTAAATAAGAGCAATAAGAGCACCCACTCTGGCAAGCCCTTTTAACTTTAAACCAGTCTGGATGACAAGTAGCGATTTAGTTTTTACTAGGGGAAATCACATTTTGACATGTTGAAATGTTAATTCAAGATATCTGTAAAACCATTTTTACATGTTACAAATATACTTCTACATGTCCAAATTACATTTCGACATGTTGAAACTGATTTGCAGATATCTTTAATTAAATTACAGATATCTACAATGACATTTTAACTAGTTAAAAAGAACATTGTAGATATCTCTAACATAATTGTTACACGTACAAATGTAATTACAGATATCAAGAATTGGATTTGAGATATCTGAAATGCAATTCCAGAAATCTGAAATTCATCTTTTTTTTTTTTTTTTTGGGCTTTTTGTGCCTTTAATGGAGAGATAGGACAGTGGATAGAGTCTGAAATCAGGGAGCGAGAGAGTGGGGAATGACATGCGGGAAAGAAGCCACAGGCTGGACTCGAATCCGCCCGCTCTGAGGACTACAGGCTCCACACATGGGGCACATGCACTAACCACTGCGCCAGCAGCACCCCCAATTCTAGATATCTGTAATTACATTTTTTCGTGTAAAATTGTTGATATCAAGAATTAACATTTTAACTAGTGAGAATTGAGTTGTAGATATCATGAATTAGAATGACATTATGGATATGTCGACATTAAATTCCAACATGTAAAAAATGGATTACAGATTTCTGTAATTCGATTTGAATAGAAGTCAATGGCACAAGCTGACTGGTTGTAATTAAGTTACAGATATCTACAATGAACATTTCCACTAGTGAAAAATTAATTGTAGATATCTGTCATTACAATTGTTACTAGTGAAATTTACATTGTGGCTATGTCGGCTTGGAATTCTTATATGTCAAAAAGCAATTATTGATATCTACAATTGCTATTACTGCTAATGATTTAATGTTAAAACGGCTTGCCATACACACCCCTTGATCAACTAATCAATCTTTATTTGTATTGCGCCAATTCACAGCAAATGGAATCTCAAGACACTTAACAAAAAGAGCAGGTCTAGACCATTCTCTCTAATAATTACAGAGATCAGCTTCAGCAATAAAAGTTATAAAATCCAGTATGACTTTGCAAGTTAATCATGAAGTAAACGTGGTTTAATTGAAATAAAGAAACTGATACACTGAGTTGTTCCCTGGAAGTTTAAAAAATGAAAGTAATATTTAGGTAATGAATATAATACCAGCGACCCACCTGTCATGTAGAAGTCCTTCACAGTAAGCTGTGGAGGCACTAAAGGTTCAGCAAGGACAGCCTGGTTCACAGCCTAGAAGACAATAACCAGGTATCACCATCAAAGAAAACAACATGAAGAAAAATAATTTAAGGAGTTAATATTAAAATAAATGCACCTTCTCTTAAAGCATCTGGACACATGCTGGAGGAAGAGAACAGCTTACCTTTGACAGTTCATTAGCCTGTTTAAAGTAGTTGGCCTCCTCAACTTCATCATATCGAACCAGATTTGGGGAAACTTCTGCCAGTCGATCCCGCACTTCTTCAAGGCTGTCGTATGGCAGTGTCACTCCAGCAAGCTAAAAAAAAGGCACAACATTTAGTTTTCTTCAACGCCATGTAGTATCATGATTATATATTATTGTAGTTTACCTCAGATATGCCTCTGATAATCTTCCAGTCCTCCCTTGCCATGCCCGGTGGTGTCACAGCAACCTTTGTCTGCTGGGCACGGCCTTCAGTGTTCACATAGGTGCTACATTTCTCAGTATATGCAGCTCCAGGAAGTATGATGTCAGCCACTGTAGCGCCAACGTCGCCGTGGTGACCTGGGGAGTTTGGGCATAGAGCACTGAAAAACTACAAATGCAAAAAACTTGCAAAAAAAAAAAAAAAGATATTCCCTTATTTGATGTTTTTGTGATTTGTGATGGAAGCTCAGACACTGTGGTGAAAAAATCTCTGTTAGTGTTTATATCGCTTAAGTGATGTTACTGTGAAGCATAAAGAACCTGCATTCATTTATTTACTTTACTCATTTACTAAGGATTTTTCCTTTTGCACCTATACAATAAAATTAAACTGCCACTCTTAGCTGACACATGCAAATTAATGTAAATGAAACAGCTTCTGCTGCTGTGCAGTAAAAACCAGCTGACCTTGATAAATAATGAAGCTGTCCTTCGGGAGATCTTGGCGAGTAATGCAGCCGGCATCAGCTCCTAGCAGGAAGAGAACTTTGGGTGGGTTCTTTCTGATAGCCTCCACTCCTGGCTTGTACCCAAGATCAAGGGCAGCAACTTGACTGGCAACCCTGAGGACACAGTTATCAGAGTAAATTACAGTAAATATCCCACTTGAACACTGTTCTGTCACCATAAGCTTACTGGCTACATTTTCAAGACAATGACCTGTGAAGCACATTTAGAACCTTCCAGGTTTCCTCCACACTGCTGCTGACGTGAGTGTTCTGAGCAATGGTTAAAACAGCAGCCATTATAGCAGCCCCATCCTCTCTCTGCAGGCAACTGCTTCCAACCACAACAACAGGATGCTTGGCCTTAGCCAGGACCTTTAGGAGCAAACATTTCAATATAAGGAAGAGACACTCAAAGTACCTGATAACACTGATTGCAATACTGATAGATCTCAGAGTGTTACTTGGGAAAACGGATGAGCTCCTGATGCAATTTCTTGAAGAACCGTGCCGGACTCCCCCAGATGGTCATATGTGTAAGTTAGGTCCACTTTCTTCCCCAAAAGAGCCACTTGTAGCTCGTTGTGAAGCCAGCTGAATCAGAGGCACCAAGATCACATTAAAGCACATTAAAGATTTCTGCCCTGACACCAACTTCGTTTATAGATGCTGTATTTACAGGACTACCTTTTTCTGATTCTGGCATTAAACAGAGGAGCCTCATAGCGTGGGTTTGTCCCAACCAGAAGCAGCACGTCAGCTTCTTCAATGCCAGTTATCCCGGTGTTCAGTAGATAGTTTGAACGCAGGTCAGATCTAAAGAAGCCAGGGTCAAAACACAGACCTAAATTCATCTCTTGTTCAACTGATTTTTCCCATCTTCAAAATACTCTTTCTATGGTCTTTACCCAGCTCCAGCCATTGGAAACACCTCCTCTGTGCACAGGTTGTCACTGTTCAAACGATTCAGCAAGTCTTTCAGGGAAATAAGAGCCTCTGCATCTACCAAACCTCCGACAACAGCAGCAACTTTGTTTCCCTCAACTCCTTGCAACTGTTAAATAAAACACATGCTGGGTTGAAATCTGAGTTGAAAATGATCATACAATGTTACGGGTCATTTTGTCATAAATAACATACTGCTCCAGCTACTCGAGTCAGCACATCCTCCCAGGTTGTAGGGACCAGCTGCTCAGATTCATTTTTCACCATTGGCTGAGTAAGCCTCTGTCTCTTGAGACCATCATAAGCAAACCTGTCAGGATGGAAGCAAGGAGGAGTTCAGCAAAGATGCAAACGTCATACCAAAAGCCTACATCTGTGAAGGACTTTGTGTGATATTTGGGTAACCTGGTTTTGTCTGAAATCCACTCCTCATTAATATCTTCATTAAGACGAGGTAAGATTCTCATCACCTCACCCCCACGAGTGCTCACAACAATGTTGCTACCCACAGCATCCAGAACATCAATGGATTCAGTCTTCCTGCAGAAAAAAACAAATAGAGTACATGAGCTTAAAAAACTTACCCGTCACCCTGAGAAATAAATAATATGTCGAGCAAAATCCAAGAACCTGGTCTCCCAAGGGCGAGCAGTGAACGCGTATGGTTTAGAAGTCAGGGCTCCCACTGGGCATATATCAATAACGTTCCCAGATAACTCAGACATGAACATCTTCTCCACATAGGTCCCAATCTGCAGGTCATTACCTCTGCCAGTGGTACCCAGATCTTCCACCCCTGCAATCTCACTGGCAAAGCTGTAGAAGAAAAAAAAGAAGGGAAAAAAAAGGAGGAAGTGAAGCAAAAAAAATGTAATACTTATTTTATTATTCTAAATTTGCACAGCATTTCAACTTAATCTAGATATAATTGATGTGTGGCTTACCGCACGCAGCGAGTGCACTGGATACAGCGAGTCATAATGGTTTTGATGAGGGGGCCGATGTTCTTGTCTTCTACAGCTCTTTTTCCCTCAGTGAAGCGGCTCCTGTCACTGCCAAACTGCATGGACTGGTCCTTAAAACAAAGTAGCACTCCAGTCTGTTAGGCAAGCTGATAAATATTTCAGAACAACAACTGTGTTTTTATACATTTTACCTGCAGATCACATTCTCCCCCTTGATCACAAATTGGACAGTCTAATGGATGGTTAGCCAGAAGAAACTCCATCACACCCTCTCTGTGTAAAATCAATAAATCAAAAATTATCCACAGAGAATTAGGTATCATTACAGACCAGTATTAATATTACAAAATATATTTTTAAGATTAGCTGTCTTATTTGGGAGTTTTTTTTCCTACCTGGCCTTTCTTGTTTTGTCAGAGTTGGTTAAAATGTTCCAACCCTTCATGACTGGCATAGCACAGGCAGCCACTGGCTATAAGGTCAATGTAAATTATTATTTACATAGTCACAGATTTATCTCTGTCATAATAGGAAAATACATAGTGAAAGACATGCGTTGCACCAAAACATAAAAAAAAGCACACAAATACAGCGTATAAACATACCTTTGGAACTTTCTCTATTTCCACAAGACACATGCGACAGTTTCCAGCAACTGACAGGCGCTCATGGTAGCAGAAACGAGGAATCTGCATTCCTACCTTCTCACATGCCTGTGACAATATTGAGTCAGTATTAAATATAATATTGAGACTTAGGATGACAATTTATTAGCTGTCTTGTGCGACTCTGTGCATGAATTAACCACATTACTTGCAATACTGTGGTTCCTGGCTCCACCATGACAGGCGCCCCATCCACAAACACCTCCAGCAGGTTACTGGCAGGTGCTGCTGCAGTAGCTACATTGCGAGCTTCAAAGACAGACAGAAAATAATACTTGATTTATTTTCATCTAAAAAACAGTTGAACAGTTAAACAATTCACAATGATTTTTATCACACCATGCTACAATTAAGTCGTCTTTTTTTTCAAAGTAATGATGACTAATTATATTGACAACTCTTGGCTCAATTGAGCCAGCAGCAGCAGCAGCCTGGCACCAAATTTGGTAGCAGGCAAAGCTGTAATCCTGCCTTTAATCCATCAGTGGGAGAAATTGACAAGTCTCCTAATACAAAACACACAATTAACAAATGTGTGTTCTGCAGATATACAGGGCACACATTGTTCCCAATGAGGGCATGATCATTTAATCTGCTGATGATGATATAGTGGCATATTGTTACCAGTGTTAGCTGTAGCTGCACCTCCTTTGGTAATAGCTGCTGGAAAGAGAGTCCGGCTCACAGCAGGCAAACGCAGCATGCTAAGAAGAGAAGCAGGGTAAGGTCTAATGTTAGCCGTTCTTTCCCCACATATTCATGACAACAAGGCTTCAAAGTTGGTGCTGAACGACAGTAATCAATATGAACTATGTAAGGTATCTGATTGTTATAACAGGGGCAGCGAAACTCTGTTGTGACGAATTTAAAAAAGACGTCTTCAGTATTCAAGTATTCAGTGAGCTCTATAAAAAGCAATACAAGCAATGATGTTGACGACATGTCAAACAGCTGGATAAAGGAGGGTTAGCAAAGTACATTTAAATACTTCAATATAGCGTTAGCACACCGTTAGCTTGCGGTAATGACGTCAAATAAACTATCAGCTGCCACCGCGTTAAACTGTAATTACGATGTTAAATTAAATATTAACTCCACAAAGTTACCTCACCCAGCTACAAACAAGCTAACGTAACATCTGAATTAAAGCCGGTTACCTTTACGTTTATTTCACCGCAGACGTGCATATCTAACTCATCAAATGTGTCCGTACATTAAAACATTAATTATGTTTAATGATAATACTTTCTGCACACTGTTGGCTGTTCACTTACCTTGTCAGTGTGTGTCCTCGTCAGACTGCCTGCTACGCAGTTTGCGCCTCTGTCTTGTTATTGTGCTGCGTCACGGATTAAGTAATCCTGTAGGCTATACAATAATCCAAATAGGTAGGCTTCTCCTCTTTAAATACTTATCTACTCGTCCAGTTATTTAACACCAGCCATTACAGTGTTAATGTAAACCTCTTCTTAACAGCTATTCATCTCATTTACACTAATGTGTGTCACAGGCTGTGATGACAGCTTCTGGCAGTGTGGCAGGAAGAGCAGGGCTTCCCCCTCACTATCAGTTTAATCAGGTCATAATATTAGTTTATGAGGCTTAAGTAACCACTTATTAAAAGAGCACAGGATTCAAAAGATGGAGGATCACAGGTTAGTGGGTTCAAATTGTTTGTTCTTTGTCCACAGCCAAGCAACCTCCCTGACACAGGATGGTACTATATCTCTTAACCTCACAGTCATCTGTTCAAGTCAAAGTTAGAAATAACAGGAAATGGCTTTGTAAACACACCCTTAGGAAATGGAAGTAAGTGCCCATCTGGGTTTGTGTCAGATGCCTACTAAAAAGGCCTCCGTAAATCCACCTGGAAATCTATTCTGTCTACATCAAAGCTTATTATTTTTAAGAGGTTACAATGACAGACCCTTCACAACAAGTTCATAAAATGATGATGCAAAAGTACAATAGATGTTCAGAAGTATGTATTTATTTGGAATATATTAGAATAAAAAAATTATACAACTCTCAACTAGTTTTAAAATCTTATACAACACATACAAATGTGACTAGCAGCAAGTCTATAAAAATAAATGCATAATGTTAGACTTAAAAGAGATATATTCAACATATTACATCTCCAAGAACCAAAGATGCCATTTCTTAAGGATACAACAATACTTTTGTTAATATATTTGTCACAAAACTGTAACTGTTTATTGCTTTTATGATTGCTTGGTCAGGAAATTACAGAAATTGTGAGAAGCTCATCACAATTTCTAGAGCCCAAGGTGACCTTGTCAAAATAATTTTTCTGTCCAGTAAATACTGCCCACCCAAAGAAAGAAAATTTAAAATCTTAATGTAAGCATTAATCACAGCTGAGAAGCTGTAACGGAAACTTAGAATCAAATATTTTTCTCTTGAAAGTATTTTTTAAGTGTATCTTGCCCTTTTCTGAGAGTCACTGGATTATGAAATGGGGAAAAAAGACGATATAAACTCAGTATGTACATTGTACACAGTTCTACATAGATTTTCCAAATAGAGTTTTAAGTCTGTCAACAGCTAAGATGGAAAGAACAGCTATGATAATATTCCATATTTATGCATAAGTAACAGCTGCTCTTAGCCTTATATTCTTCAGTCTGATAATGGCTGTAATCATAGAGTTGATGACTCCACAGACTCCTCTGGCACCCAGTCCTGGTGAACTTCTGGCACAGACTCCATCTCAGTGGCGGAGACTGATTGGCTGAGTTCTCTGAGTGAACTCTTAGTAATGTCCAGGCATGCACGCTTAAGGATATGACGCACCTTTTTTCCAATGAGCATGTACAGCAGGGGGTTAATACAGCTGTTGAAAAAGCCTAAGCTGGTGGCGAGAGGAAAGCCAGCTTTTAGTATGTTGTGTAAGTAAAATGAGGAATGCATGGACAACTCCATCAAGCTGAAAGTATGAAAAGGTGCCCAGCATAAAAAGAAGGCCAGGATTACAGCTGACACGGTTTTGGAGAAACTGGAAACGCGAACTGAGCCCCTGGACTGATTCACTTTGACTGTCAGAAGTATGCTTGTCACACATATTGCAGTGAAAGGCAAAAGGAAGCCAACAGTGGTGCGGATGACCACGATTATAATGTGCCTCATGGCTGCGGTGTGTCCATCCTTTTCATGGAAGTTGTTGAAGCACACCACCTTGTCATGTAAGCGCATTGTGTCGCGGAAAATCAGCGCAGGGCAGCTCAAGGCTGCAGCTAGCATCCATATGCAGCCACATACAACCCAGGCGTTCCCCATGGTGCGGCGCCTCTGGGACCAGTCAAGGTGCACGAGGGAAACATATCTGTCTACGCTGAGCACAGTGAGGAAGAGCACACTAGCATACATGTTCATCACAGACACAAACGAGTTAATCTTACACATGGCTACACCAAAGTCCCAGTGGAAGTCTCGCAGGATGTAATCGATGTAGAACGGGAGAAAAAGCACAAAAACAAAGTCTGCTATGGCCAGGTTGAGTAGCCACACACTGTTGACGGTCTTTTTGCTTTTAAACGCAGTCACCCAAATGACCGTCCCATTCCCAATCAGTCCGAGCACAAAGGAGATAATGTAGACGACCACTGAGATAATGTGCATTGTTTCCTTCTGCCTGTGCTCCACTTTAAGATCCTCCAAGTCGCCGTACTCCAGGTCGTAGTCGTAGGTGTAGTTTCCATACTCCTCGCCAAGGTCACCCATTGTTTCAAGTGGCTCTGTGGTGAAATGATCTGTGACAATGATGTGCAAAAAAAAAATCAGCGTGAATTCTAATCATGTCTTCTCACCTCAGTTTGTTTTTGATGTTTGATTTGCTGTTCTCCAGAAGGATCCAGTCGCCTGTCTTGCCCTTCTCTCCGATCATTCAGTGCTTGTTATGACTGGGTGTGTCTGGAACATAGTGTCAACATCCATTCAAATCAACAGGGTGGACAGTGAGATGCCTAACAGAGGAGGCAGAAAAGATCCCTCAAAAGATGATTCATAGTGTTTTTTTAAACATGGAAGAACTGTATTGTTATTGCACAGTTAAAATGTGAAAGCAAATGTGTCGATGTGTGGGTGATGAAACGCACTGTGGCATGTCACTGTCTGCCTTTTTCAATGTTATTATAGACTGCTCAAGTGGGTGAAATGTTATATTTAAATACACATAACCTCTATAAGTATGATTGTCAAGGCCAAAAGGTTTTACAGATTTTACTGAAATCACATTTACATCACATAACCTGCATGTTTTCCTTCATTCATATGATATTACATACAAGCTCATTCTCTACAGTCTGTTATTAACTTTAAATATCTGTTCAACATCAAATCACATCTGGAGCTTAGAACATGGTTCAATAATAAGTGCCTAAAAAGTGTGTTGAAGCCTGTGCATTCTGATCAGACAAACTGTGAAAGACAACACATACGAGGTGATACATACAGAATCAGTGCAGCCAATAAAAAGACCATAATCCAAAGACAATAATAGTTGCCTAAATAACAGCAAAACTAACTTACAGATAAGCTTTGAGTCTGAAGAGAAGAATATAGACACTGAAGGCTACAATTATGGGACACATAGGCTATCATTAGATAGGACAAAAGGCAACCTGGACCACAAATATAACCAGACTAACATGAAGAATTAGTTCAATCGACAAGCCGATATTCTTACCACATCTGTTAACATGCACGTAACATGCATTCATATTACCAAAAAAGCCTGTCAATTAGGAAATAACTGTTCACAGGATTACAAGTGCCTCATAGGCTACGTAATGTATGAACTATTCAGGACGTTTGTTAGGCTTTGTAGACCAGAGTGCATCGCTTACCCAAAAGTGCAGCGCTCCCTTTTACAAGTTTTTGGACGTAAACGCCGACAGCTCCCGGATGAAAGTAGCTGCTAACTTAGCATTTGTACCTCCGTAGTTTTTTTGCCGGGCCTTGACTCCCAACTCCTTTTCACTGAAGTGTCGCTGCAGCATGTGTGTAATCTTTCCGCGAGTCCATCCAACTCAAAGTGTGTTGGTGTTTGTGAAGGGGCGGCGGAGCTGTGCGGTGGGTGCGCCGCGCTGACGCGTCAAACACCCGGACTGAAGAAAAGTTATTGGTCAGCCGCATGAAATGAAGAATGCTTTCATTCACAGGGGCTGCGGCTGCTTCTCATAACAGCAGGGGAAACCCTCAGCGCCTGCTCCCCCCTCAGTGGATAAACGGAAAAGTTTCAATCTAGCCCCTTTTTTTTTTGTTGACTATCAGTTTTTACCTCTGAAATTCATGAAACAGCTTCAGTCAAGATGAAGGAAATTGTCGTATTTACACCTTGTACTTTTAAAGTAGGCCTACTACACAGTTAAACACGTCAATAGAAGAAGTGCTGCATTGACAAAAAAAATGTATGTAGTTATTCTGGTACCATTTTGTAAAATGTCAAGATTGCTTTTGTTTTCTATGGCGAACATTTTATGCATGAAATATCAGTGCATGATAAACTTCATGTTATACAGTATGTAGTATTATTCATATTCTTAACAAGAAGGACAGCATGTTAAGTAGTTGTATAATTCCAACATTTATTTTAATGTCAGCTATTTAAGCTCTCAAAAAGCTTCCACGCTGACTGGCCATATTGTTTCTTCCTGTTGTTTGTATGTTTTCTTCATGTGCCGTGTCATCATGTATACCAGTGTACCAAATGTGCAAAGCCTTGACAAACACATTTCCCCCTGAGGGACAATAAAGCATCGTATTGTAATTGTAATATTATTTGCAAATGAAAAAAGAATGGTTTTACCCAAACTGATGCAGACTGAAGTAGGCTAACGTGGAGTTGTCTTGCTGCTTACTCATCCCTTTTTGTTTCATAAGGAAGCCAAACAGCCTTTTCTCTGTTGTCTCAATCTCCAGCGACCTAAGATGACCATCTCATCCCTCTGTGGACTGTTCAGCCCTGGGGGGGAGCTGTCACTTCCTTGGATATCCGTGTGTGTGTGTGTGTGTGTGTGTGTGTGTGTGTGTGTGTGTGTGTGTGTGTGTGTGTGTGTCTGTGTGTGTGTGTGTGTGTGTGTGTGTGTCTCTGTGTGTGTGTGTGTGTGTGTTTTTCAGTACCCTTACAATCCAACCTACAAGTTACTGATTATGGCCTTCATATTCCTCTTTGAAGATATTATTTTATCTTAGATGAAGACTAACTGGGTGGTGTACATGGGGGTCTCTTATAGGGAAACTTAACAGAGTAGTTATCATCACTAGAACACAAAGCATTCATGCCTTTCCTCATGTATCTGTACAGGGTTCAGATCTCATCTGGGGCTAAAACACTACACACTGACCAACCTAATTTGATTCCCAAGTTACTTTGAGAGACCTTCTAAACAGCCGATTTGAACTGTAAAAGAAGAGAGGGGCCAGGTGAAATAAAGAGCTTTATGTTTCACATTTACATTCGAAATTGCACAGAAATGTAACTCAGCTATAATTAATGCATTGTTAATACATCTGCTTGTGACCAGTTTCCAGTTTTGGAAAGCTCCTTCACTGTTTTCTATACAAAATGTTTACTTTTCAATGCAGATGAGCCCATTTGAATGCACATAAGACAAGGTAGCTTAACTTTAAATTTGATATGCAATAATCTGCACAGAGATAGGATTTCTGAGAATTTGACTGGTGGCTTACCGTGCTGTTACAATCAAATGTGCAACTTGAAAAAAGAATGTTGAAGAACCAAATCTTACTTCATTATGAAATGTATTGTCATTAAATGTTCTGATTCTATGTAGTTGTTGGTACTTTGAATGTCAAAATTAAAAAATAGGCTACTTAAACTTCTGCAACAGGGGAGAATAGGCTGGTTCACTTTATTTAAACCAGATAAATAAATAGGCCTACATACACACATACACATTTACTACTCAAGAATTATTTCTAATAAATGAGTCTTTATGGTTTATAAAGCCTGCATTTTATACAAGTACCTCCAAATTTGTGCTTTGGTTTTATTATGAATGCAATACCTGATTCCTTTTTTTTTGCAATAGCCTATATGGAATTGCTTTCCGACAGTTCTTAGGGGTTTCCCTGCTAAGGAGCAGTAATAAAAAACATTTTAATAAAAGTCAAATTTTAAGAAGAAGCTGAATACATATTTTGAGAAAAGCATATAAACCTACCAGTTTTTCCTTAATTCAACAACAAAAGCTAAACGCATATCATTTGGTTAAATGATTTCAATGTTGAATAACCTTATCGTGTTTTTGTTTAATGTCATTTTACTTTCATCAATGTCACGGGTACACTTCCTGGTTCAGTCGGCCTGTCAGAATATGCCTTTGAGTTAACCTGTACGGGCTTCCTGTGGTCCAGGAGGGAGGGAGGGAGGACATGCTTGTCCTCACACAGGGAGGAGTCTGCCTTCCTGCCTTGACTTCCAGTTGCTGCTGCCTGGCCACCGCCTTCTTTCTACTCCCCCCCTCCTCCCTCCCTCTCTTCCTCTCCTCTCCTCCTCTCCCCCTCACCCTCCTCCTCAGCAGCTACTGCAGCAGCATCATAGCATCCCGGTGCCTCCCGGATCCATGAAGAAAGCCCCTCAGCACCTCCGCCACGATGGGACCCAAGCTATTTACTGCATTGTTGTGTTGATATTGAGATATTTCAGTTATCAAATATGAATCATGCATTTGATATTTCTGGCCACTTTGCTCGTCAGCATCCTCTCGCCTCGGCTTCATCCATCACTAGCGTCATCCGGTATGTATTGCAATAGCCTGCTGACTTCTTTGATCGCTTTCATGTTTCAAAATAGACCTTTTTACTTTGTGTCTTGCGCTAAAATTAGATAGCACGATGTACTGCAGGTGCTCAGCATTGCGTCCCCCTCCCAAAAAATAGATAGGGAGTTATTTGATTTGTTATGCGGCGTCTGATGGTGCATGAGGCAGACTAAACCATCTCACCACCTTTTGTTCAGTATTAAAAAATACAACTCTTGTCATGTAAGATTTGCAAAATTGAATTGACATTCAGTTAAAGTCTTTAACTCCAGTGCAGTTTATTATGTTCTGTTGTTGTCTGCATTGCATAATGCACTCTGTCTCCTGCAGAGTTTTTCACTTTGGCAAAAGCATAAAAGTACCTCTCAATGAAATTAAACAGTTCTGTAATTCATGTCATCTTAACATAAGTGGTTTACTACATCATGTCACCAATCATACCGTAATGTTACTCAAAGAACAGCAATGACACCTCGGCCACTTGTCTCAGTATCATCAATGTGTCCGGGTATAAAGGATGACAGCTGGCTCTGTGTGTATGGACGGCTCAGGTTTTTCATGTCTGTGTGCCTCCAATTCTCTGGCAGTTTCTCAAGGAGTTGAAGACAAGGTTGAGAGGGACGCAGTGTCGGCTCTGCTAAAGCAACAGGCGACTGCAGCACCTGCTCCAGACAACAGGACACACCGTGCGGTAGAGCATGTGATCACCTACCCATCGCGGTTGATCTACTACCTGGACGAGGAGTCGGAGAGTACCTACCATGACCTGGACACCAGGACCAAGACACAAGGCACAGAGGGCCAGGTAGGTCAGCACTGACAATGGGATGGGATGTGGAAAGAAGTTAAACCATGGAATGGACTTATAGCTGAGTAGGTTTAAAAGGAATTTGTATTTCATGAAACACAGTAAAGAAAAAGAATAAGGAGTTAATGAAAATAAAAAATGTGATGAGTAGGTGGAGTGTTTGGTTACTGCTGTGTAGTCATGGCCTCTAAGTGAAGTCCATATGATATCATGACATAAACCTCAACTCCATGTTCAATGTCATTTCACTGCAAAATGTCAGACGAAGCTAAGACACCAATCACAATCAGACACAACACATTAGCCGATACGTTTCATTTTGTGTGCAAGAACTGGACGGGTGCCAGAGCGACCATGCTGAAGAAGCCGTTCTTCCAGCTTGCCCACTGCAAATGACCATCTGCCATCCATCCACCACATCTGTTATCTGTGCTCTGTGCTGAAGATGATGCTGGAAGTGGACTCCAGAGGATTTTGTTGCCTGAAGAAGGCCATTAGCTAGCTTGCACTTGCCACAATCTGCAGTGACTACTATTTCCTCCCCCCCCTTACAGGCAGTGCATCTTGCCCAGGCTAGCTTCCAGTTGAAGGCGTTTGGCACACGATTTGTTCTGGATCTAGCATTGAACAAGTAAGTTCTGCTTTTGTTTCTACGCTCTTCATTTTAGCTATAAGGACTGAAGTTATGGCTCAAAATTCTACTGTCAAAAACCCTCCTCGCTACAATAGTTTCTACTATTTAAAATGACAGCTGATTGGTTAGCAAAGTTCATGGAGACACAATAGTCGGAAGTGAGGGAAGTACACAATATTGACACCAGAAATCTCTTTTCATCATAACACATTTCTAGTTGTTGTTGAACTTCAAGTCTGCATGATCCTCTTCTTACTCCTCCTCCTCCTCCCCTCTTCCTCCTCCTCCTCTTCTTCCTCCTCTTCCTCCTCCTCTTCTTCCTCCTCCCCCTCCTCCTCCTCTTTCTCCTCCCCTCCTCCTCCTCCTCCTCTTCTTCCTCCTGTAACTATCGACTTGATTATATTTTGTATCTTGTTGTTGATCAGAATGTAAATGAAGTTCTGTGTTAAAGTGTTTTTCTCATAACAACATCTGTTGTCATGGTTACAGTGATGTTGCAGATGGTTGTAAGACATGTGTATCACCCTCGGGTTGTAGAGAAACCGTGTCAAAGTGACCAAACGTTCATGCAGACAGATCCACACTGACACTCTCTCAGGGGATGTTTTAGCTGCAGCAAACTCTACAAAGACATTAAAGGGAAATGAAAGCTGTTTTTTTTTAGGGTTTAGTTTTGCAATGGCTGGCTGGTAGTAAATGAACACTGTAAGCTATATTATGGAGAACACGATTAGAATTAGAATAAATGTTGAGTTGGAGGAAGATCCACATCACACCTCACACACATCACCCAGGGAAACTCACAAGATGTCTGTATGTGTCCAGTGAACGACATCTCCTAACTTGATCAGTGTGAGACTCCATAGTGTTATACCCGTGTAGACATTCTCAGAGGATCTATTTGTGCAAGACTGTGTGAGCTAAAATGAGAGCAGATAGCACTCGTGAATCA